TCATTACTCAGATCATTTATACCCTCATTTCATGATAATGAATATTAAAGAATGCCAAAATATTCAGCTTCAAAGCTCTCTAACATCATGTCACTTTGAAATAATTGCGTTTATTTGGTGTCGAAACATATTTTGAACTAAGCTTATAAGGTTTCGCACGCATTTTTCAATGCTGATTTATTTTTCTCTCGTCAGTTTTTTCTCCATAGGTTTAAAATACCATTAAATTCATCATTCATGATACCACAGACACCTTCTTTAAAATACCCCCTGCATAATTCATCACAAGCATTGTTAGAAATCAGAGATTCTCGTCACACGTGGCAGCATCGCCTCGATGTGGGAGAGTAGCACATCCGAGCGGACCATTTGTAAAACGACGTTAATGCAGAAGACATTACTTCCTCAATCGATACTCGAAATATCCCAGGCATCGTCGTGGTCGCGTTGGATGGCAAAAGGAATCTTTTTTTACGATTTGGGGTCTGGTCGAACGATACCGAATTTTCTCAGCAATCTGATATCCACGAATGGGAAAGACAAAGTCATGACGGTGTGAGGATACTTTTTCTCGTCAGAAAGGGCGAAAAATGTATGATTATAGAGGAAAAAGATATAAGCTAGTGTTTTAGCACGTTTTAATTGTATTATCATGTGTGTATCCTAACTTCCTTCTGAAAACGTCCTCAAAACTTCGAGGATTGTCAAGCGAAGTCGAGCGAATTTGGGTTAGGTTGGGTTAAGCAACTAAACTAACCTTGGAGTAGTGCGTGGGGTATCACGTGCATTTGAAGGCGTTATCGGTTGAGTTCCAGCAGATATGCTCCTAACCGCTCTTTCGAAAGACCTTCAATACTTTATGAGGTTGAGTGTTGCTGCCCATGAGGATACGAGGGGTTATCCCCCTGGTCGCTACGCGGCCCAACCCATATAGGGTGCTTCGCGCCCTCGAAGGCCCGCTTCGTGGGTTCCCGTAAGTTAAGTTTCCTATCATCGCTGTTGGACAGTTTCAATGTAACTAGGTACATTATCTTATTATATTTACGTCAAGGTTCTGAACTAAGTCCAAGTGTTTTTTGCAATCTAAATTTCTTGTGATTGCGGGGTTTTGCATTGATGTATAATTTATCCATAACAAATTCGTAATAATTGACCGATTGAAGATTTAATACAGAATTTGACCAGAATCTTAAGTTCCATTACTTAGCACGAGTTTACTTGAAATCACTATTTTCATTGGCTCTCTAGAGGAATATTTTCATTAACTTCTGTCTTGCCTTAAACTACGTCATTTTTTGCAAACTTACAGCTTCTTCATATGTCTCCTTTGAATACAATTTGGCTATTTCGGAGATTTTATCTAAAAGAGATTAGACGAATTTTGAAGGAAACTCGAATCGAAAATTTGACACTTACTGCTCTCTCGCTATCATGGCAGTTCTTTCGACTATTCGGCAGCACTCTCCCGGTTTTGTACTTTCAACCCTCCTTCTCTCCTTCCCTTTCCTCGTGCGTCCCGTGTCCGCCCTCAAGGATGAGATCCGAACAGGGTTGCCAGGTTGTGCATTAAAACACGGATATATTACATAGGTTTGGATGAGGAATTGTGCTGATTCCCAGCACAATCTGGCAGCAATGGATCCGAACTTTGAGGTTAATGAAGCTCAGCGGCGGTAACGGGAGCATACTGGGATGCCTCGATTGTGCGCTCTACACTCGAGCAAAAGTAATATCGTGTAAGAATAATAGAGAGCGATTGTCTGTTTTTATTGAAATCCACTCTGAGGGGATCTAACGATCTCCGATTTCCCGTCTCCGGGTTCTGCTTCCACCGCCGAGCTTCGAAGTAACCCATATTTGTTGCCATGTCGATGGTGAAACTACAAAACTGCGGATCTCAGTTGTGCAGATGTTTCAAAATTTCTGCTCCTATTTTATTTTTTGTGAGGAGACTTAACCGATATCATGGCTTGAACACCGAAAAAAAATAGTATGCTGTTTTAGCATCTAGGATGTCAAAAATGTGTCTGGTGATCCCAAGATGCTGCCTTTACTGCCCTCGCAGTTGAATTTGCATCCACATGATGTAAAATTAACTGCGGGGGCAGTAAAGGCAGCATCTTGGGATCACCAGACACATTTTTGACATCCGAGATGCTAAAACAGCATATTATTTTTTTCAGTGAAATTATTGCAGAATATTCGTCACGCGGAGAAACAAGTGGCCGAAGTTTTCAAGAAACGTTGAGGATATTCTTTTGGAGATATTATTCTGACTCAAAACGTCGTTTTTTGTTGACAAATTTTTTTTAGTTAAAAAAAACGTTGTTTTGCTATCGTTTTTTAACTTAAACTTAACGATAGCCTAACGACGCTTTTTAACTCAAAATAACAGACTTTAAGTTAAATTCGCATGGATTAAAAAAAAAAAAAAAATGTTGACAAGAAACGACGCTTTAACTCAAAATAAACCTCAAAAAAACTATGTTCAAGGAATAACGTTCAGTAGTTTTTTATGTAGAAAATGGGGTATGAATGGAATAAGGCCGCAACGCCGCAAACTGAAATACTGCAGTTTCAGCATCGATATTGTCGTGCTGGCGAAGAACTCACTATAGATTTTCGGAAGTTGCTAGTCATTAGTAAAATGAACTATATTTTGCAATAAGTATCAGTAAATACTCCTATCTGCATGAGAATTCTAATTGTACATGCGTTGTTTCCATCTACGGAATGTATAGTTTGTTAGTCGATTTACTACGACGATCATCAACTAGGCTATTTACGTTGGAGACCAGGAAATAACCCTAAATTTTTAAAACTTGCTTGAAGAGCTTCAAAATTTCGGTAATTACTTCTGGATCGTCAGAACTTAGAGGATGGATATTTGAAGGGAAGTAATTTTGAATATTCATACGTGTAGTACAGTTTTTTGGGCAATATAGTGAAATAGGGTCGATTGTAAGGGGATAATGTTGACTTACAGAGCAAAGTTGAACTGGAGGTTTTTAGATTCAATTACAGGCGTTGTTTATACAGAATGTACGTATAGAAACATACATGGACTGCGTCAAATAGAAAGGAACCAAGTTTCATCAGCTATTGCCAAATTTAATTGGGAAAATGAATGTTTTACATGAAAACACATGTGCTGATTTTTGTGCAAATTTCTGTGAATTTTCTGCATAGTACGAAGAAAATTCCTTAAATTTTCTTTAGAAAATTTTCGCAAACGTTATCTTGTAAAAAATTAAATTGCCGAATCAAATTCTGCAATAGCTTATGTGGCTTGATTCCTTTCTGCTTAACGTGGTCCATATTCTGTATACGCTGAATATAAATAGTAGCTCACTGGAAAAAAAACACATTGGATCTAGAGTCCAGACTCTTGAAAACATCGACAAGAAAAAATACTCTTGATTCAACAAGATTTTTGCTTAAATCAAAAGGAAATCCGCTCAAATTAAGAGGCTTGGTTCTTAATTTAAGCAAAAATCCGATTGAATCAAGAGTGTTTTTTCTTGTCGATGTTTTTAAGAGTCTGCTTGATCCAATGCGTTTTTTTCCAGTGCTCATTGTAAATTGAAGTTTTAGAAAAATGAAATATTAAATGAAATAAATATCTCATGAAATATTTGGCTGAGCGCATATTTTCCTCTTTTAAAAATTCTATCTCATTCCATTCCATTTAAAAACAGCTCCGATTTTGCCTTCCACCGGGCTCAAAACTCAGGCGCAGAAATGGGGAAGATACATATTGGGTTTCCCGCCTACTTTTCCGCGAATTCATCTCAACTTCGCGAAGGCGCGCGTGGCGTTCGAAGAGGGAAGATCCAAACTTTCCCTCTGTAGTATTCAAAAATTGAAAACCGACTCTCATTAAAAACTTGAACCTCCGTAAGGAGCTTACGCGATTCTTTCTTTGCTATTTCTAATATTTGGACAACTCGCAGAAGTTTGAGGCTTTCATCCGCGGCGTTTCGTTCCGATTTCCTCCTTCTAACGGGAAATATTTTAAAGTTATCGACCCTTTGAAGCGTTACACGTGGACATTGCTGCCAGATTGAAGCTTAAACCCTCTTCGAAGGAACGATTTCCATTGAAACGGCAACGTTGCGGGTGAATCGAGCATGGAATGGAAAGTGCTTTGTCTATATTGTCGGCCAAGCCGAATTGACTCAAAACTTTGACAGTGAAGTTTTATTGCCAAATCGAAAAACTGGCCCTTGTTACTTCTTATGGGCCATTATATCTTTTTCAAACAAACTTACAACCTGCCTCTTCAAAAAGCTACTTCTCTGTGCGCGAGTTTTTAATGAATAGCGATCACTCTTTTTGGTGATCGATGGATACGTGTTTTATCGCATGAAGTTCATCTTGAAAGAATCATCCTTTTGGAGTAAAATTTTCTAGAACGTAAAATTCCAGCTAAAAGTCCAATTCTGGAAGTATATTCGTTTTTTTTTAAAAAAAGAAAAAAAATTAAAAGTCACTCTAAACTAATAAACGGTGGGTTGAAAATAGTTCGCAGTTTTCAAAATCCATCTCATCCTCTCCGTGAGGCTTATAGAGATAGTACGGGAGGGATATCGCGATTAAAAGGGGGGATTTAATTTGAGTTTGAAAGGCACCCAGAAGTCGTCACTCGAAATTTGAGGAATAAATGAACTACATTTTGCAATATGGAACTATAAATTCTAGCCCGGCTTAAAAAAAAACGTATGTGCCATTAGTTTCTTTATTCACATAAGTATTTTCCCAGAAGAGCCAGAATTTATAGGTCCAAATTGCAAAATGCAGTCCAAATCTTGAGTGGCCCGATGGATATGAGGAAATGAAGCTGACTCCCCAGCCCCCCAAAGATACGGGATTTTTCAATAGGGGTGCATTCACGCGAACTCATGGTTTGTTTTCTAGTTTGAAAAATGTAGTTTTGAGTAACGTGAAGTTACAGATGAGAATAAATGGATTGATTTTGATGATGATTGTTTTGTTTGCAGTTACGATTTGCGCGGACACCCCGAGGGAAAACCGAAGACCTGGTCAGCGGACAACGTGTTCGGGAAGGGAGCGTTTTTTCGGAGCTCCTCGAGCCCGGCTCAGTTGGTCATCGAGAAAGTTCTCCTGGCTCACGAAGATGTCTACCGATGCCGAGTCGACTTCCTCAACTCGCCCACTCGCAACTCCAAAGTCAACTTCACAGTCGTCGGTGAGTTTTGTACCAAGATCCCTTAAACTTCCACGAACGACGGCCCAGTTCGAACGAGGACAATAATATAGACACACTTCAATCAAAAGGAACTGAATCGACTGTTACACGAGCCCTGTCATGCGTCTACTCTTGAGGCTCTCAGGGCTCATGTTAGAATGGGTATAGTGTCTTTTGAATTAAAGACGTCCACGTATTGTAAGCGTTCGCGGGGAAAAACTACTTCAGTTCAAAAACACTCAAGATTGAGTTTTTAATAACTCAGTCTTGAGTGTTTTCGAACTGAGGAGCATGGATGAATGTTGTTTGGATATTTTCGGAGAAATACGCAGTAACATGTCGAAGTAAACAGGATCTCAGGGCTCATGTTAGAATGGATTTAGTGTCTTTTAAATTAAAGACGTCTATATATTGTAAGCGTTCACAGGGAATAACTACCTCAGTTCAAAAACACTCAAGATCGAGTTTTTAATAACTCAGTCTTGAGTGTTTTCGAACTGAGGAGCATGGATAAATGTTGTTCGAATATTTTCGGAGAAATACGCAGTAACATTTCGAAGTAAACAGGAGTTCTGATGCCTCGCAGTTTGCATTCCCAAAAAAAGTGGTTTTGAGTAAAAGCTATTGGAGTTAATAATTTGTCACCTCCCGGCCAAAAACTGACAAGCGCCATTTACGCTTGGACGCTGGTTTTGGATACCTCTATATTGTTTTGATTTTTCTTGATAAATTCAACAAGTACTTTCAACAAACTGACAGCAAACAAAATGAAAGGAGAAAAAGTCATCGGATTTTATCTGATGAGGCTCTGAAAAACTCGAGTGTATGCATCGATCAAGCGGGAAAAATGGACTGCATTTTGCAATTTAGAACTGTAAATTCTGGCTCTTCTGGAAAAACACTTATGTGCGTAGGAAAACTAATGGCACATACGTTGTTTTTAAACCGGGCTAGAATTTATAGTTCCAAATTGCAAAATGTAGTTCAAATGGTTGGTAGCTTTGATTGAGTTTAGTGACATTGCAATTGCTTTGTTAAATTTGCAAAACGACGACGTTCAGTCAGTTTCCGATCTAGCAATCACTACCTTTTGCAATATTGTTTGCACGATATATTGCCCCTAATTATTTCTCTCTTTGATGAAACTGACTCGTCCTTGCAAGTCTCTTCTTTTTCTCGGTCGGTTAAGATCTTTATTACCATCCGAAGGTATGCATCAGTTTATTAAATGCAGACGCTTCTTACTGCCTTGATAAGGAAAAGTAGAATAAGAATTGAAACAACTCTTCATTTTACTCTAGCTGAAGTTTGAAACAGGCCCATTTTTGCTTCTCAGGGACACAACTTGTGAAGTAGCGTAACTTAATGGTAGATCTCGTCCTCAGATTACTTAGAATCACCTTAAACTCGATCTAATGCTCCTTTAGGTGAGACAAAAACAGCACTGAAAAAAAAAGATCGGTAGAATTTACCATTCCTTCACGCTGTATTTCACACAGCGTCAATTCAGAGTCAATTTTGCTAGAAGAAAGGTAAACGTTACTATATACTGGTACAGGTAACCATTCCTTCGGCAGAGTCGACTTCGAATTTACGCTGTATGAAATACAGCGTGAAGGAATTGTAAATTCTACCAATCTATTTTTTTCAGTGAGAGATTCCAAGAGCCAGAAAACTCATTGCAATGACTCTGCCTCTCCAGCAAGCAGACCCGCAACTTCCCCGAAAAACTCCGAACTCATTCGTCAAACGGATCCCGTTGCGCACGCCTTTAATCCAACACCCACTCAACCTCACACCGAATTGCACCTCTCAACCGGAGCTTGAAGCGTCAAACAAAGTGGTTACGATAGCCTCGCCGTAGCGTACGTACGACAAGAGTTTAATTGGCATGAATGAAAAAACGAAGAATCTAGGTTGAACTCGAGAACGTGCTTCCGTCCACGTTGCCTCCTTTATCAGCCCTCGGAGCCCCCGAGAGAAAAACTCAAATTGAAATAAGGACGCGAGCGAGTGACATGCATGCAGAGTCATTTTCCCCACGTCCGTCGCACTAGAGGTCCAACCGCTTTTTAAGATGAGCCCCAAAGCACGTAAGTTGCATAACCTCCAAGGCGCACGAAGGGTTTCACTCGGCATGCCTTTGTTAAATTGCTCTCGAGTGGAGTAACCTGTTACCACGAGCGGAGACCGGGTCAAGAGCTCCGTTTCATCTTTGCGTCGCGCTGATGACAAAAAGACGTAAGTGGATTTCGAGATCAGCTCTCCGGTGGGGTTGTATCCTGGTTCTTAATGGGGTTTTGAGAGTTGGGGTTGAGCTCTTTTTCGGATCGGGCTGCGTTTTGTGCGATGATAATGCAATCCAAGCTGTTTCTCGGAGCAATTAAAGCATTCAAATGCGCATTTCAAGAGACTCCTTTCGCGAAATTGTCGATTTGTCATTTTCATACAATGCAATTTCGTCAACGTTTTTGCGCTTGCTATCAAACGTAGGTCTGGCCCGCGACTAGTGCTCGGGGAGGTTGGGGTGGTAGATTTTGCGGATAGTATACATTTCTTGGTACCGCACGAGTAAAAAAGTATGGTAAAAGTTACTATATTTCTGGGTGTATTCCGTCTCCAAAGACGCGAGTATCGAGTAAAGCTATCATCAGATTTCTAGCAGTATAATTATGACGGTTTCAGGACATTGCGGTAACGATTTTTTGTCCGAGCAACTGTTTTGTCCAGTAGTTTATGTCCACGCGTAAAATAAGCAACATTGACTTGGTCCGAGCGTTAGATTTTAGTCCGTTTGTAAAATTATATTGACAATATCGAAATGAGAAAATTAAGAGAGAAGATGTTTCTATGGTAACTCATTTTTTAAATGAGGTATCCCTTTCTCCTCTTGCTTCATCTTTTCAAATTTTCATTGGTGAATACTTGGGTTTATTTCTATTCTTAAGAGTTTTGATATAAAGTATACCCTACATATACTTTGCTTTTAAATGAAAATATTACTTCATTTTAAAAACATTGGCATTTTTAAAACGTGGCAAATATTTGTAAATCCTTTTTCAAGCGATGGCATCGAAATGAATCTCCATAAACCGTAATTGTGTTAAAAGGAACTTTACAAAAATGAATAAAATATAGAAAAAGAAAACCAACGAGCACGCAGTTTTTGGTTTTGACCCATTTGTACATCAATCTTTTAGAGTCAAATTCGTCCCATTTTGAGCGTTTGGTTGCTTGCTTACCACGCTGCATCACAGTAAAAGCACAAAGTATAAAAAAAATTTAAGTGCCTTGAAAATTATTAAATTTGACATGGAACCACTTTAATATTTACAAAAATCACACATTGTATTTTCCTTAAATATATATATTTTTTTACATCAATGTAAATGAGAATAATCCATGCAGAGTGTGCAAACATTTCAAAATCGTGACTGGAAAATCGCTGACTCCGAGAGACTAAATATTAGCGTGCTGTCAGCGCAAAATGCGCGCTGGCGCCTACAAACCTAAGGGGATACTTCAAGCATTGCGCAATGCTTGAAGTATCCCCTTAGGTTTGTAGGCGCTAATGCGCGTCGCGCGTTGGCCGGCTGGCCGCCGCACTGCGTGCCACGGCTCCTCAAGCAACTATTTCACAACAAACGTGTTGCATAGTACCAAACAAAATTGAAGGCGCTCCAACATATTACGAATGGCAGGCATCCTTTAAGAGTACGGAGCTTTCCTCGCACAATATATCAAGATATCAGAGCACAAAAAGGGAACGGTAATCCAAAAACTCACTAAGTTCTAGCATCCATATTTAATAACGTCTAGCATTATTTTTCAATTTCATCAGAGAAAAAAGTGACCCGATTTAGGCAGAAACTTTCTTGAGTATGCCATCAAGAAGATATTATGTTGAAGTTTCTCAACAGCGTATGGGTCGATAATTCGTTATCGGATATTCTTAATCGATCGAAATCTTTCCAAAGATAGGAAATTTTCGATCAAGGTCGCTCAATGACGTAATCAACCCGAGCTCTGTAATATCCTACAAACGACAACGTCGCTAAAAGCTCCCGTTGTGTCAAGACCTCGAGGATGTGTTTCCGCGGGGAGGCTATAATGCCCATTAAATTATACTCCTCTGTGCAGGCTCCCTTGCATGTAATTCCCGGCATTACATGTTTATAAATTTGATTCCTTCAAGGAAGGCGCCAGATTATTCCGGGCCGCCTCAACGCACCGTCTTCCCATTCCCAACCCGTTTAAGCACCCAATTACCTATCAATAAAGTTGCAGACAAACGTTCGATTTATATTCATCGGGTTCTGCTCCTTGTCTCTTTTTCAGTTCCACGTTGCTCCGCTAGGTTCGCGATTGTAGGATTCGGGGAATTGAAGACGGATTGCGTGGCTGATGTGTCGTCAACGTGTAGTGAGGTTTCGATTAGTTTCGTCACCTGGGTGCATTCCGTGGTTTAATGGAGGGAATTGTCTGGGTTCCTTCGTTTGAATCGTCCTAGAGGTGTAGACGGATCCAAGAAACCATTTGGAACTTCCAGTGAATGGAGAAAGCGAAGTAATTTTTTTAAGTAGTTTAGGCATTCTTCGCAGAAACCATAGTATAAACTTATACGCTGTTGTTCAGATCGTGCTCTTTTGTAAACTATTTGTAGGTAACCAAACGAAACTTTTTTTTTGGCTTTTTTTTATTTTCTTCATTGATTCAAATTATGCATTTCACATCATAAAAATCAATGTTCGGTTACGCAATATTTGCTTGAAATGTTAACAAAACATGGATTGCATTTTGCAAAAAGGAACCGGAAGCATTGCAATCATGCTAAGATTGTGCAACTCCATTGTTTGCTAAATAAAATTACTAATATCATGAGAAAATATAAAGTTTACATGGTAAGTTTTGTCTTAAATTTACAGTTTTTAGCGAATTAAATAGAAACTGTCGATGGATAATCTGGTTTTTCCTCCAAGCAAAAATAAAATGCACAATCT